TTCTTTCCCTCATCTAGAGGCCTTACACAGGGCGACCCCCTGTCCCCCTCCCTTTTCGTCCTTGCGGCGGACTACCTTTCTCACTGCCTTGACGGTTTCATCCGCGACTTTCCTCATATGACGTATAGCACCCGTGGCTATGGTCCTCCCATCTCTCACCTCTCTTACGCGGATGACATCATCATCTTCACTCGGGCGGATGATGATGGACTGGTCGAGCTCATGCGCCTTTTGGAGCACTATGGCTCGGTTACCGGTCAGCTGGTCAGTGTGCAGAAGAGCACATTCACCCTCTCCACTTCCATCGGCCACGTGGGCTCAGCGGGTCCACGACATTACTGGCTTTGCGCGTGGCGACCTTCTGATTACCTACCTTGGCGTCCCTTTATATAAGGGCAACCTCACGAGAGCGCCCTTTGCGGGCGTCAGACAGAGGATGATCGACAGGATCTCTGGTTGGTCGCATAGACATCTTGCTTGCGCTGATCAAGAGCACTCTTAGCTCTCTTCCGATTCACTTGCTTATGGTCCTCGACCCCCCTAGGTCTACTCTTGACGAGATAGACCAGATTATGGCTCATTATTTCTGGGGTTACGAGGACGGTTCTGGGAGGGGGAGACGTACCCACTGGTGAGTTGGGACTCCATCTGTCGCCCTCTTCCCGAGGGTGGGCTTGGCATCCGCCGCCTCAGGGACATTGTTACAGCTTTCTCATACAAGCTGTGGTGGCGCTTCAGGGAAGGAAAGTCGCTTTGGGCTCAGTACCTTCGCGGCAAGTACTGCCCTAGACGTGCCAACCACCCTTGTTGGGTGACGGCTGTTGATCATGATAGTAGGCAGTGGCGGCGCCTCACTAGGGTTTGTAGGCGCGCCCAGGATCACATTTTCTGGGTTCTGGGCGAGGGCGATGTTAGTTTCTGGGATGAGTGGTGGGTAGGTGATAGGCCGTTGTCTAGGGATATGCAGGTGTCGCACTCTCCCTACCTGCTTGTGAGCGACCTCTGGACGGACGGGTCGTGGAATAGGTGGAAGCTTGATAGGGAGTTGGGGTCAAGTGCGGGAGTTAGCGGGAATTTATTAGATCAGATCCAGCAGATCCCTATCTCGGGGGACGGTTCAGATAGCATGAGGTGGAGACTTACATCATCGGGTGTGTTTTCTACTACCTCGGCTTTGGAGCAGATCAGACTGAGGGATCGGCCTAATCTCCTCTTCGGGGCCATCTGGAGTGACCTTTTCACCCCTACTATTTCGGTGTTCCTTTGGCGCCTCCTCTTGCGCCGGATACCCGTGGATACTGTGCTACACGCGAGGGGGATCTCCTTCCCCTCTCGGTGTGTGTGTTGTTCTGAGACTGGACGCCATGAGACTGAGACCTTTACCCACCTTTTTCTAGAGAGTGAGATTGTGAGAAGAGTGTGGAAGCATTTTGCCACTTGGACACATATATCCCTACCCACCACATACAGTTTCTTTGAGCTTTTGAGTTTTTTCTCACAGAGCACACACCTTAGACATGTGGGCTTCCTCATTCCTTGTCTGATCCTTTGGTTCACCTGGACAGAAAGGAATAGTGCGAAGCATAGGGATATTACTTTTATGTTTTCTCACATTGTTTTGCAGGTAGAGAGACACATTTCACTCCTCATCGCATTGGGCAGGCTCACGTCCCGAGACTGAACAGGCTGCACGCCACCACATCGCTACATGGTGGCCCCACCACCGCCTGTTCGGCACCCTCGGCCCAGAGCTGTTGTTTGGCTTCGATCTGACTCTCCGTGGGTCAAGCTGAACACTGATGGCTCCTTTGATCGCCACACTGGAGTTGCCGGAGGAGGAGACTTGATACGGGATCATAGCGGCGCCCTCATCACCGCCTTCCACGCGTCCCTTCAGGCCTCCTCGAATTATGATGCAGAGATTCAGGCATTACAGATCGGCCTTCAGATTGCTGTCCACCTCTCTAGCCACATTTGGATCGAGCTAGACGCTGCGGCTGTAGCCACCCTTTTAACCTCGGGCCACCAGGGCTCGTGGCAGATTCAGCACCCGCTTATGCGTATTAGAGTTCTACTCCGGTCTGTCCATCACAGGATCACGCACATCTTCCGTGAGGGGAACAGACCTGCGGACTACCTGGCCAGCCTTGGCGCCACCATACCAGACACACATATATTTCAAACCGACACTGCTCCACTCCGCCTTCGCACTCTTGTACGGATGGACTAGCTTGGATATCCAACGTTCCGCTTTCAGTAGTTTAGGACTTTTGCTTTCATTAGTCTAGACATTCATTTCGGGCATCTGTTAGCCCGAAGATCGACCTTGTATTGTAGTTTTTGTTTCTTTTTCGTTTTTCGATTTTTCCTTTTTGTTTCTTCTTTTGCTTTTGATTTTGACTACTGAGACTCTGTAGACTTTTGTATCTCGCTCGTTGATATTGTGGGCCCCCGATTTTGGGGCCCTGATCTATGCACAGGTTGGGGATCCAGCCCAATCCTCCGCCCTTCTGGGGCGTTGTTTGCTTAAAAAAAAAAAAAATAGACTTAGCAACTACATAGAACTAACATAGCAACTACAGAGAACTAACCTAGCAACTACAAACGACTAACCTAGCAACTACAGAGAGCAACTACATAGAACTAACCTAACAACTACAGAGAACTAACCTAACAACTAGAGAGAACTAACCTAGCAAATACTAACCTAGTAACTACAGACAATTAACCTAGCAACTACAGACAACTAACCTAGCAATTACATAGAACTAACCTAGCAAGTACAGAGTTACTAGGTTAGTTCTATGTAGTTGCTAGGTTAGTTCTACAGAGTTACATAGAACTAACCTAGCAATTACAGAGCCCTGTAGACTGTTGTTCGTTGATATTTTGGGCCCCCGTTTTTTGGGTCCTGATCTATGCACAGGTTGGGGATCCAGCCCAATCCCCCGCCCTTCCGGGCAACAACTATAGAGAACTAACTTAGTTGAAAGGTTAGTTGTCAACGGTCAACACCGAAAATCAATGCCGGAAGTCAACGGTCAACGCCGAAAGTCAACGGTCAACGCCGGAGTCAACGGGTCAAAATAATATTTAAATAATTTAAATAAAAAGAAAAAAGTAAATCTTGGCCACACATGATGTACCAAATCTTGTGGCTAAAAATGAGTTTCACGTCCTAACTTTAAATAAGTGGATGAATTGGAAACAATCCCTATATATATATATATATATTACTTTTTAAATTGTAAAAGAGCCACCAACCTGCAAGCAAATACCAGTTATCTTTTTACAAGCTGAATAAGATGTTGTCCTTTCGACTGCATGATGATGTGTATCAGATATGCCTAAATACTTAAATTATTAGTGTATTAATTATTTATGGACTTCATATGCTAAAATGAATCCACCCCGATTATGTTTTGACCAAACTCAAAACTGCAATTTGACTACAGGCTGTACCTAATTTTTATGGCTTATGCCTTTTTATTTTATTATTATAAAATAAAAACAGAAAGAGTTTTATGATAAATCTGTAAATACACCAAAAAGGTTGATGTAGTTTTAAGTTTTAGCCAAACGTTCCTTCCATTCCGATGGAAAACTCTTCTACTGATAGCTAGCCACCTCACATATGATATTGTAGGCCTTTGCAGTGACTCCTTCTCTTTGCCAATTTGATGTATTTACTTCTATTTAACGTGTATAAGCTGTATATATATATATATATAAGCGATATGAAATTGTTAAAAACTAATCAGAGATGTTGATAGTCTTCAACAAATCATGTATCATTTTGGAAATTCTCGTCTCAATCTATTTGACAACTCTTTCACGTTTACTATGTCTCCAACTTAATCAAAACCACTGTTAAAAGTTTTGAATTTTCTCATTTTCTGGCCAAATTATGTCTTAATGTCTGACCACTAATACCTAGGATCTTGCCTTTAGATAATTATGGAGAATAGAGGCATAGAAATCAAATTTCTTAAAATTCCCACGATGTCTTTCGATCATTTATCTAAACTCTCAGACAATTTTGTGTGACAATTTCGTGCGATGAAGATATATGTATATGTTAGAATATCATTTGTGAGTTGTACCACATCGTTCATATATGGAAAATAGACTCACCTTATAAGACTAATGGGCTACTCCTCCTTCCACCAATTGATTTTGGGATGGAACCCCATTTGGGCTTCATATGGGTTTTTTCCTTCTTTCATGGTGTCCTTCATGGTAGTGAGCCAGCACCAATTTTCCCACGGTTTCTGTAAGTATCGATTGATAGATCCACCACTAGCGCTAACCGACGACTACAATTTGTTTTTAATTATTTTTAAATATTTTATATTAAAAGGGATGAGTTAATCAATATTAATTTATGGAAAGTGGTTTTCTCTACTATTATTTGGATCCATGTCTATAGTAGACTTGGCTGCTCTTAACTAATAGAAAATTAGTTCAAACTTATAGCTGTATTGGATTAGTGGAGTAGGATATAAGTATTTCAATTTTTAGCTTAAATCTTTATACAATATTGAAGTCAGCAGTTTTGCACAAGGTTTACTCATCTGCTATTTTATTCACGCAGATAGTTTATTTTGTAAGTTTTAAACTCTATAACTTAATTAAAAAGAAAAAGGAAAAAAAAAAAAAACTCTAATGA